CCCCAGAGCCCCGATTTTGAGATTGAGGAGGAAGAAGTGTTGTCATCAGTCATACCAGATTCCAGGAGGGAAAATGAACTTCCTAATTTCCCCCACATCGATGACTTTTTTACTCTGAACCATTTAGGTCTGCATATGATGACCCCCATTTACTGGTAAACAGAGAGAAACAGAAACTGGAGTTGGAAAAACGACGCCTGGATATTGAGGCTGAAAGGCTGCAGGTAGAAAAGAAACACCTAGAGATTGACAAGGAGTGGCCACAGAATGAAAGAGAGAAGTTGAGGCTACAGATTGTCAACTCTGACAACCCCTCTTTGGAAAATGAACTTGGCCAAGGACAAAAGTCCATACTTCAACCACAGGACATAGAAACAGAGAATTAAAACTTGAGAGAGAACGCTTACAACTGGAAAAAGATAGGTTACAGTTCTTGAAGTTTGAATCAGAGAAGCTGCAGATTGAAAAAGAACACTTACAAGTAGAGAAAAAGAGACTGCAAATTCAGAAGGAAGGACACTTGCAGTGATTTATTTTGGTCTCCATTTAGCAAATGTTTGTAAACCATAGGTTTTTCTCTATATTGGGTAATATAAAAATGGTTGCAAGATTAGCTCTTTTTTTTTCCTGTTTAATGTCAGTGTTTTCAATAGGAAAAAGATAGCTATGTGTGGGTAACTATATACTTAAATAGTACATTACATAAAAACTATGTGCCCTAGCATAAATAGTATAGCAAAAACTAATGTGCTGTACTCTTTGAATTAGTAAAATTGCACAGAATCTTGTATAATCTGTGCACTCAGTTTACAATTATGTCTATGTAAAATTCTAGCTTGGCAGTTTTTTTTTTTTTTTAAAGATTTTATTTATTTACTTGACAAAGAGAGACACAGAGAGAGAGGGAACACAAGCAGGGGGAGTGGGAGAGGGAGAAGCAGGCTTCCCGCTGAGCGGGGAGCCCAATGTGGGGCTCGATTCCAGGACCCTGGGACCATGACCTGAGCCGAAGGCAGACGCTTAACGACTGAGCCACCCAGGTGCCCCTAGCTTGGCGGTTCTTGATGGTTGGGGGAGGGGTAATTCTGACCCCCAAAAGACATTTGGCAACATCTGGAGACATTTTTGGTTCAAAATGGGGGAGTGGAAAAGGTTGCTTCTGGTATGTAGTGGGTAGAGGCCAGAGATGCCTACCTATATCCTACCATGCACAGGACAGCCCTCCACAAAAAAGAATTATCCAACACAAAATGTCAATTTTGCTGAGGTTGAGAAACGCTTTCCTAGCGTGTGTACCTCTATAGCTTAGGTTTATAGTTTCAGAATATTAAAGCCTCAGATATTTAAGATATTAAGGTAGTTACATAAATGGCCCAAAACTTTAACCATGTAACATTACTGTGTAGTATATTGAACACAGGAAGTGATGAAGATTATAGGTATTTTATTGCCATATTTCCATCTATAAATAACCTGAGATTGAGAAAATAATACAGGGAACATCAGAGATCGTCTAAAATGGGTCACTTTGAAAAGCAGTTCATTCATCTAGTTATTGATGTTTTAGAAGCAACACATACTTTTTAAGTTTTAGTTCCCTTTTTTCTTTGACTTCATCGTCTTAGTTTAGATAGAAAAATTGTCACTTCAACCATGTACTGAAATCTTAATATAAGTGAATGGTTGAAGCTAGTAAAAATGGTACCAATATAAAAATGGTACTAGTAGTCCATGAGCTTGAAATCAGAGTTATTTTTTATTTTTTTATTTTTATTTATTTATTATTTATTTATTTATTTTTAAAGATTTTATTTATTTATTTGACAGAGAGAGACACAGTGAGAGAGGGAACACAGCAGGAGGAGAGGGAGAGGGAGAAGCAGGTCTCCCGCTGAGCAGGGAGCCTGATGCGGGGCTCAATCCCAGGACCCTGGGATCATGACCTGAGCCGAAGGCAGACACTTAACGACTGAGCCACCCAGGCGCCCCTTATTTTTTTATCTTTAAAAAATATTTTATTTTTATATTAGAGAGAGAGACAGATATAACAAGAGAGAGCAAGAGTGGGGAGGAGAGGGAGAAGCAGGCTCCTCACCGAGCAGGGAACCCGACATGGGGCTCTATCCCAGGCCCCCGGGATCATGACTTGAGCCACTTAACCAGCTGAGCCACCCAGGTGCCCTTAGTGGTTATTTTTAAAATAAATATTAATAGCTATGTGGGAGTCAGAATGGGGGCTGGGGGAGGATGCCCTCTGTATAAGATAATGATGATGATGATGATGATGATAATGATGAAATAATGATAGTAGCTGATGAATGAGTTAGGGAAGCACTTACCACACACTGTTTGATTTAATCTGTAGAACAATTTCGAGAGTAGCATTATTTTCCTGAATCTGAGGCTCAGAGAAGTAACACAGTAAGTGAAAGCCTGATCTCATATCATGGTGTATTTTGTCTTTGCCCCTCTCTGAGGAACGGAGTTTGTATCTTCGGTCCCTTTGGTATTTATTCTGAGAGCAAGGGCTTGCTTAACCGGGTGATTTGCCTTCAGTCTCCTGAAGGTGCTTTTTCCACAATCCCGATGATTCTGATGCACAGTAAAGTTGAGAATCACTGCAAGGGATCACTTTGAATTTTCTGATTTCTAGGGCTGATAATGTAGCTTTAATACAACTCTTCTGTTGACAGATACTACTTGGATTCTGCATTTGTTCCTTGTTAATTTAAGAATGTCTTGAAACCATATGTGATATTTGAGTATGGACATATGAGAAAAAAATATATTTCTGCTTCATTACCTTGACTTTAAAATAGTGTTATTTTTCCATAACCAAAATAAATGCTACTGTAGAAATAAAATTTCCCTATACTAACAAAAAAACAACAACAAAAAAGTATTTCTAATTGCATCTTTAGTTCTATTTTAGGTCTTTCTATTCCTGCTTTCTATCTCCTCTTATGGTCGAGATTCAAAAACACCAAAGTCCACTGTAAAGAAAGCTTTTCTTCATCACCCACACATCCCACTTGAAATAATACAAGTAGTAATTGTCAATATGGATGCATCTGGCTCCAGTGTCCATATAGTATGTTATAGGTCTGAAAAGTAAATCATCAAAATTAATTATTTTTAAGGTAAAAGGAGCCACCAGCTGCTCTGGAATGCTACTACCAGGAAAACTCTGATTTCAGCTTTTTGGAAGATATCTGTCACCTTCCCATCCCCTGCATCACTCCCATCCCACCTTCTTTAGTCAAGAAAGTATTTACTTTTATAGCTAGTGACAAGTGTTGGGGGGTAGGAAATGTTTAGATGATGGAAAAGCCTAGCCTAATAACACACTCAGATGATTTAAAAGTTTTCAGCCAAAATTAAACCTGAGTGGATTAAAATATCCAATTATTTGCTACTTAATAGAGACACTCAATGCAAAAGGACATAATCATTCTCTAAGAAAAGAAAAGCAAATGAATTAAGACAATAAGAAAGAAACAAACTTGGAGTGACGGTGTTTAAATAATATCTAGTAGACTTTAATGTGAATGGCATTAAGCAGGAAAAGATCTTTATGTGAGAACATAATATAAATCATTTTGTACCACAATATTCTCTTTAAGTCTCTTAAATATCCAGCTTTCATTACCAACAGAACACAATGGTGTATGGCAGCTAGAAAGGGGTCCCAAGATGGCAACTGAAATTCAGACAGATTTTGAAATTTTTAAATTCTGACTTCATTTTTAAAATTAAACTTTTTTATTTTGGGATAATTATAGATTCACATACAGTTGTAGATTTTTTTTTTTTTTTTTTTTTAAAGTAGGCTCCACACTCATGGAACCCAATGCAGGGCTTGTGCTGACAACCCTGAGATCATGACCTGAGCTGAAATCAAGAGGTGGATGCTCAACTGACTGAGCCACCCAGTGCCCCAAGAATCCACAGTTCTTTGACTGAATGTGAAGAAGTCTGCCCTAAGAGATAGTCATAATAGTCAGCTGATGGGATTGGAGGTTATCAGAACATGGTCTTGGGAAAAGGCAGCTTTATTTCCATATCTGTGAAGCTATAAAACATTGAAATCACACTCTCATCGTCTGAATCTAGTGCATCACTTCAAGCAATGTTTTTTTTTTTTTAATGTTTTATTTATTTATTCATGAAAGTGAGAGAGAGAGAGAGAGGCAGAGGCAGAGGGAGAAGCAGGCTCCCCGCCTAGCAGGGAGCCCGATGCGGGACTCGATCCCAGGACCCTGGGATCATGACCTGAGCCGAAGGCAGACGCTTAACCATCTGAGCCACCCAGGCGCCCCTAAGCAATATGTTTTTTAAATGGATAAAACTGTTTAGAAGCAGAAACCTGGCCTATACAGGGGTGCCTGGGTAGCTCAATCAGTTAAGTGGCTGACTCTATTTCCGCTCAGGGGACGATCTCGGGGTCCTGGGGTGAGACCAGCATCAGGCTCCATGCTCCTCAGGGAGTCAGCTCGAGGATTCTTTCTCCCTCTGCCCCTACCCATGCTCGCTGGCTCTCTCTCAAATAAATAAATAAATCTTTAAAAAAAGTCTGGCCTATACAGCTTGGGCCCAAGTGTCCAGGTGGGGCACTCATGAGTTCTGAAATCGGAAGAGACTGAAAAGTTGCAGACTTTGGGGCTTCAACGAGGGCGAACAGTAAGGGCACTTTAGTGACCCCATCACGTGCCTTGCAGATCAGGAATTTCTGAATTTCCTTTTCTCCTTCGTTAAATGGCAGGAATTACTCCCGAGTCCCCGGAGGTTGTAGGGGTCTCCGTGAAGTGAAGCCTCGGGGTTTAGCTCCCTTAGGCCCAAGGGAAGTGAGACCCTCGTTTGGAATGTGGGAGGCAGTAACTTGATTTGGCAGCTCCCCGGCGGGCCGCACACCCTCAAGGCTTGGATTTTCGTCTTTCCGGGGTTCAGGCCCAATCACTTGTTCCCAGGGGAAGAGCTGACGTTGCCCTCGCCCCATGCACTCCAAGGCCAAGAGATTCCGGTGTGGAAGGAACGAGTCAATACAGGTGGAAACCCTTATAAACTCGGAAACGGCTGGGCCCACCGGCACCGGGGCGAGGGTAAGGAGACGGAGGTGGTCACGTGCAAGACCACGGCGCAGGCGGGCTAGCGGAGCGTTCTGAGTGGGAGACCGGACCGCCAGGCAGGGGGCGGGGCTTGTTGTGGGCGGGGCCCTCCCCGGTGCTCACGTCCCGGCGCGGTGGCCCGGGCGACTCAGGCCTAGCGTAGGTTGGAGCGTGGTTAGTTTTGAGGCAGTCCAGATGGGGACGCTACCAGAACGAAAAGATATTCCTTCGTGGGTGAAAGCTCCCGAAGACTTGAAAGATCCCGAGGTGTTGCAGGTCCAGACGCAGCTCTTGGAAGCTATGTTTGGTGAGTGAGCCCAATCCTGACCTGGGTGCCCTGGCTCGGGCGTCTTGGTCGCTCTCCGTGGGCCTAAGTGCTCATATTCTTCCCCAAACAGGCCCAGCTGGATCTCGAATCCCGTACATCGAGCAAGTGAGCAAAGTCATGCTCGAGCTAAAGGTTCTGGAATCCTCGGAGCTCACGGAGATCGTGGTTTATGGCTCTTACTTGTATAAGCTCAGGGCCAAGTGGATGCTCCAGTCCATGGCCGAATGGCACCGCCAGCGGCAGGAACGAGGTGAGAGGCTTGGGGACGAGGTGCTTTGGCCTGGGGACGCGTGGGTGGTTTTACTCCCTCTCCTGGAGCCTTTTTCTCCTCTCTCCCTCTCTTCTCCCCGCAACCAGCATCCGCACCTCAGCTTCACCAGGGGCGGCCCTCCATATCTGAGGGCCTCCCTGAGATGCTGTAATAGCGTCTGTTGGTTCTAGAGACCCTGGAGTGAGACCAGTGGGAGGCGGCCTGGCCTCATAGGGAAGCGTTACCTGAGACCTGATCCCAGTTCTTACCCTCCCTCCCAACACTCCCCCTAGCTTCTTGGGGGATATTGGAATGGGCTCAGCGGCCCCACCTTCTGACGTTCCCAAGAATCCCAGGTGCAGAATGCCAGGCTGGGAAGTCCCAGAAAGGAACCCTGAAAGAGGCTGAGAACTGTCCAGGCTCTTACCCTCTCCCCTCATGCACACTTGTTGCTTTCTGGTGCAGGGATGCTCAAACTTGAGGATGCCATGAAAGCCCTAGAGCTAGGTCCTTGGATGAAGTGAAGCCAGTTTGCAACCAACGTACCTGGATCAGGATTTAAAGAGTAAATTGTCTCCAGAGTTGGAATGGATGTGGTCAGGTTGAAATTCTGCTCCGGCCTGACAAGGAAAAACCAGCTGATTTTTGGGTCTCCACCTTTGTCTCTGAGTCCTAATGTGGCTCCCCCCTCCCCCCAGGTTTGCTAATTAAAATAAAATTTTAAATAAATAGCTCCTTGATGTTTGAAGTATTGGCGATAACATCACAGCCAAGGTGGCCCTTGAGCTTAACCCTTAAATAAAACCTTCAAAGCTAGAAAAAGGTCCAAGAGCACACATGGTTAGGGTTAAAAGGCATAGGAGGGGGTGTCTGGGTGGCTCAATCGTTAAGCGTCTGCCTTCGGCTCAGGTCATGATCCCAGGGTCCTGGGGTTGAGCCCTACATCGGGCTCCCTGCTCCGCGGGAAGCCTGCTTCTCCCTCTCCCACTCCCCCTGCTTGTGTTCCCTCTCTCTCCGTGTCTCTCTCTGTCAAATAAATTAAAAAAAAAAAAAAAAAAGGCATAGGAGTTTGGTTTTGAGATGCAGCTTTGATCAAAACCCAGTCAATTTTAGGGGAAATGTGATATTGTCTGGAACTGACCTTGATTCTTTTTTTTTTTTTTTTAAGATTTTATATATTTATTTGTCAGAGAGAGAACACAAGCAGGGGGGGTGGCAGGCAGAGGGAGAATCAGGCTCCCCCACTGAGCAAGGAGACCGATGAGGGGCTCGATCCCAGGACTCTGGGATCATGACTTGAGCCAAAGGCATACACTTAAAACCGACTGAGCCACTCAGGCACCCCTGACCTGGATTCTTTTTTAAAAATAACTCTATAATAGGTTGACATGTGTAAAATGAAAAGCAAGTATTTTCCAAAACATGGAAATGTCAGTACCTTCTCAGTGTAGTAGTTTTTGTTTTTTTAAGATTTTATTTATTTGACAGAGACAGAGGGTAGTAGTTTTATATGCTTGTAAGCTTAATAGAAGACCACGAGCTGATATGCAATATAATGAGACAGAACTATGGACTAAGTGGAGAGTACTTGTTGTTATATTGGAATAAACAGCATTTTCTTAAGTAACACTAATATTTACATTTACTTATAAATTTTTAATAGATACTACATTCATATGGATCAGAATACCAAAATGATAGAAAAGTTTCCTATCCATTATAGGATTATAAAAAAATTATCCTCATAATTATCCATTTATGCACATACTTCTACTTTCCAAAAATAAAAAGCTTTATTTTCTTGTGTACTCTTTCATTCCAGAGTTTTTTTAAAATACAGTTACAATCATAAATGTAGATTCTTTCCCTCCCTTATAGTTGGGCATGATTCCATTTTATTGGTTCCCTACCAAAGAATTTTTGGGTTGTTCCCAATCTTTGGCTTTCCATAGCTGTGGTGAATACCTTCAAGGTCATTGTTTTGCAAGTGTGCAAGTACTCTGTAGGCCTATAAATAGAGGGAAAATTGCTGGTCCAGAGAGGAAATCGTATACATAATTTTGCTTGCTATTACCAAACTGCCTTCCACAGGGGTTGAAATAATTTTGCACCCAGCAGCAGTATATGAGATTGCAAGTTTCTCCACAAGCTCACCCAGAGATGATTGGCAAACTCTTTTTTTTTTTTTTTGCTGATCGATTAGGTGCAGGCTTCCTGAGTTCCGTACTTCTTGCGTCTGCTTTATGGACCAGCGGCTGTGGCTCCCTCAAGTGGTCCTCAGCTAGTGCACCCTTCAATCAGTTGGCAGTGAATGTGTGTGAAAATGTAAACCGGAGAGTTGGGAATTCATAAACTCTGGGATGCGAATAAATACAAAACTTCCCTTGCCCTAAGGGCTAGAAGTTCTGCCCTAAGGGCAGTGCTTCCAAGTGTAGAAAACAGCTTTAGGTTAATCTGTCAAAGTAGCAAAATTTGGAAATTTAAGCATATGCCATAAATTCCATGCATGCCCTGGACTGAAGATTTTTCAGCCTTACAAAAGAAAACACAAAACTTTGAGAAAATTCATAGGAAAAGTTCTGGAATAACCCGAAGATTAAAAAAAAAAAAGTTGTTTTGGGGTGGCTGTCTTATTTTGTCCCCCTTGAGTTTTAAGCTTTTGGCCTGTTTTCCACCAAAGGTAAGTACAGGATTAAGAGCAAAACACCTTTCATTGTCATGGAAATGGGGGTCTGCCCTACAGAAGGGCAGACGTTAGCGCTGACCAGATTTAGAAGGGAGGTAAATTCAGGGCGTAGTCAAGGAGTTTTGCTTACAAAACAATTGATAAACAAAAGCAAAACCCAATCTAGTGAAATCCTCTGGCCAAAACGTGGTTAACAATAGCTGACGCTGAGAGCCTCAGGCATGCCAGGAACTCCACCAGGCTCTTGTATTTAGTGACTCACCTAATTCTTTCAATATTACCACTTTACAGATGAGGAAAACCAAGGCTCATCAATCACACCCCCTCACGATTCATATATTCACATTTAAATATGTATATAAAAATTTGAGGGTCACAAGAAACTCTTCATGGAGTGGGGAAGGGAGAGATTCCGAGCGGGTGTAGACGCTCCTGGCTGGTCCTGGCGCGGATTGCCCAGGCAGGGCTCCTTCCCACCGTGTGCTCCCGGGGAGGCGCGGCCAGGACACCCGGTACCCAGGGCGTCGTGCGGAATGGGACTCCCGGCTGCCAAGTGTTTGGAGGAGCTGGAGGGTGCTTGAGACTGGACCTGGGCACGGGTCAGGGAAGGTTCCCCAAGGAAGTCAATTCTGGGTGAGAGCCAAGTTAGCTGTCAGCAGTCAGCCGGCCAGGTGGAAAGGAAACGTCGGGAACCGGCACTAGGGCCGAGTGGCTGGGGCGGGAGGAAGGCGGAGCAGACCGGAGGCAAGGCCGGAAAGGGAGGAAGGCTGGTCCGCCCAGGGCCTCGCAGACCACGCTAAGAGCTGGGGAAGTCACCCGGGGTTTTAAGCCGGTGGTGAGTTTGTCTAAGAAGCTCTAGTCCCTCAGAACCACACAGAAATTGAGTTCCTATCTCCCCTCCTAGCTCCCCTCCTGATTCCTCTCTAATCCCTCTGCCTTGCCTTCCCACTGCTCCCATCAGTTCCTTTAAATCCAGAAACTTTTTATTGAGTGTCTACTTTGCCTCCTCCCAAAAACCTTGCTCTAGAGAGAAAACAAAAATGACGACGTGGCCAGGGACCATTTTCAGGATTTCAGGAAATCTTTTCAGAAAACCAAGTGTCTGGAATGTTATTTACCTGAACGAAATCTGAAACATTAAAGTGTATGGTTAATGAGGAATAAGAGGTTTTCTCTGTTTGGCACGTAGAATTTGGGAGAGTTTGTCCAGAGAGAGGCAGCTCTAGCAGGTCCTGTAGCCACGTTTTGGAATCTCTGCAGCAGTTTTGGAAGTGCCAGATTACCCTAAAAACTGGACCTAATTTCATGGGATTCCCCCCCCTAACTTTAATAGAAAGCATGGTTATTGTCATTGCATTGGGGATATTTAGGATTTAGCTTTATCAAATTGCCAAATTAAATAGTGATCAGTTGTGTTGCTGAAAAAGGAAAATGAGAGAATGTCTAACCTTCAAGGACTCCTAGCCTGAACTGCCACAGGCATGGGACTTTAAAGAGGGACGAGTACAACAAAGAAACTAGAGTGAATCAGGGCTTCGGGTCTGAAAAAAGGAACCAAAAGGGGGAACAGATGGATAATTCCTCTCTTTCTTTTTGAGGCATTTGGAAAGTTTGAGGGAGAGGGTCCCAGGCTCATCTGTGGTGAAGGGTAGGGGATAATCTAGTGCTGGTGCCCAGAGCCATCCTCTATGTTCAGGATGGTGGCTTTGTGGGTGGGATGGGCCCACGGAGCAGGGGACATGTGGGTGGTGAGAAGATACGAATTGCCTAGGATGGCTCCTTCTCATTCCCATAACCTGACTTTTCAAAATGATTACTCTGGATTAACTTTTTGGCTTTTTCACACTGGATGATATATTTTGTAACACTGGAGAAAACTTGTCTAGATTGATTTAATAAATCATTTTACTCCATTCAACAAGATTATAATACTTTGGAACACATGTAATGAAAAAGCACTTCCATATCTTGATTTTCATTAATCCATAGAACATCACTATTGCCCACTTTACCAATGAGAAAATCCAAGTGGAAGGAGGTCATTGGTCTGCAGTAGCAGCATCACCTGAGAACTTGTTAGAAACACATTTTTAGATCTACCTCAGGCCTACTAAGTCAGAAATTCTGGTGTGGGGCCTAGCAACCTGTGGTTTAAACAAGCCACTAAGCTTGAGAGCCATTGGCTTAAAATAAATTAATTTGCTTAATCTGATTCTACCTCCATTTCTAAATCAGTTGAGAGGCAATGAGGGTTCTCAATTCTTACTTATTTTGGGTTCCTGGACCCAATTCCAACAAGCGTATGTGTATGTTTTGGGGTGGAAGGGTCTCCCCCCGCCCCAAGCAATTCTCAAGACACCAATTTCCAGACTGTTAGGTCTATCAGCTTTCAGCACTCTTCCTACTCCTTCCATCATTCCCACCCCCACCATACACACGTCATTCTAAATTGGTACCTGTATTAAGCAGCCTTAAGGAATTTAAAATCTGTCATTCTAATATCAAGTACCTCTTCAAAAACTTCAGTAAGCATAAAGTCACATGGCATGCTTATTTAATGCAGATTTTCATACCTACCTTCAGAGCTTTTAATTTCATAGTTCTAGGTGAGGAATTTTTATCTTTCATTTTTGACATTTTGATTATTAAATGTTGTGGTGTGGACCTCTTTGGGTTTATCTTTTTTTTTTTTTTTTTTAAGATTTTATTTATTTATTTGACACAGAGAGAGAGAGAGACACAGTGAGAGAGGGAACACAAGCAGGGGGAGTGAAAGAGGGAGAAGCAGACTTTCCGCCGAGCAGGGAGCCTGATGCTGGGCTCCATCCCAGGACCCTGGGACCATGACCTGAGCCGAAGGCAGATGCTTAACCGACTGAGCCACCCAGGCGCCCCTAAAAAATTCTTTTTTCTTTTTGCTGTTCAGCTTGGTGCTTTCCATTACTCTGTCTTCTAGGTTACTAATCCTCTAATTTACTGTTGATTCCCTCTAGTGCATTTTTTATTTTAGTAACTATAGTC